GGAGCTTCGCTAAGCTTACGTATGCCCAGCACGCATAAGGCCATGCTCACTCGTTTCATCTTTTTTCGGGGCCTCTGTGCCTTAATTGAATCGAGTTATGAATACATCTGAAAAGTACCGCTCAATTGGAGAAAGCTCCGCCCACAGCACGTGAGTCTGGTCCGTCTGGTTTGTTGACCGAATCCACACCTTTGCTCATTTTTTTCCTGTGTCTGGACTTTCTCGAGACCAAAATAAGATGTTTGGTTCATGGCACCGCCCATTCCGACACTTGCCCCGCCCCCCGTGGACGTGGCTCCGCAGAGCTCATATGTGCTCTGTTAATCTTGTTGTGTCCAGGCTCCACCTATCCCGAACTTGTCCCGATCTCTGCAAGCGCTTCTTCAGATGATATCGAATTTTGTGATGGACAAACAAACAATCAGACAAACAGACAAACAGACGAATAGACACACCAAACTTGTGGCTTATATATAGTAAGGATGTGCCCATCCGCAAAATTCTATAATTATGGTAATATGAATAACCCTTTGCAAACTGTTGTACTTACATCGAGGAATGAGCTAGGAGAATAGTGGTAGAGTCTAATTCAAGTTAACCAATCGATAGCAACTGATATCGGTTTGTAGCAGAATTGATTAGACGATTACAACTTAGCTGTGTAGTGTGAGCGATTACTCAAGTGAAATGGGTTCTTGAAAAAGTTGGAGCTTTGCAGAGCCATTTAATTTCTTGCTCCTTGTCTTTTCTCTTCTTAACTTTTAGCCAGCAGGACAGCCCAAGTTATTTACATCCCTCCTCTGACAAAAATGATTGCTCGACTGACCCACACTTATGTTTTTTGAGACGAACAAAAAATTTGTTATAACAAATCAAATCTGGAAGGGAATGCAGCAAATTTCACACGAGCTAATATTCGAGCTAACAATAAGTCACAAAAAAGAGCTCTGGAACTAAGATGCAAAATGTGTTTTACGACTACTAAATATCGGTCTCATACTCATGATCACAAAACAACCTCCCGATAAAGATTTGATTCTTTCCTACTTTCGTCGACTAGCACAGCGTCTTTTGTATGACAGAGCAACCTGCTTATTGAATGGTACCCACATATCCTCGAGCAACTCTACTTTTGTTTCGCTGATCGTGAGTGTAGCTGTTGGTCTGCAGTGCGTTTGTTTGTGTGTGGATGCGTTTGATCGGAAGATCATGACACCTATTGCGTGAGCCTGGAGCATTCAAATTTGGAATGAATACAGACGCTATAATTGAAATACGGGAACAGGGATAGGAAGGTATTAGCAACGAAGGGGACTGACAAGAAAAAATGAAAGGCAAGAGTCACAGATCGCGGCCTCTTTAAGCTGGAGCAGGCCTCTTCAAGTTCTCCGTGTCCAACAATAGCAGGGTGAATGACTGACCATTTCCACCCGTTCCACTCCCTAAAGTTACATTCTCCTAGACCTCTAACAGCAGTTCAACGAAGGTTTCAAAGTTCTGTTCTAGTTCTTCCTGAACTGCTCATGAGTTTCTTCTTAATGTGCATTTAGAATTTTACCGAAGATTGGAGATTCAGTTGCGCCGATTGCTCCGCACATGAAGAATGCCATGTTTGCCAGGTTGGCACTGGGTGAAATGTCGGAGTTCCACTGCACTTCGCCAGTGCAATGGAACTACGATACTACCACCAGCTCTTACGATCAGGCAAGTAATGAAATATGAAGTACGCAATTGAATGAGTAGCGTGACATTCCGTCGCGATAAAATTTAATTAAAGTGTGTTCATTTGAGAAAAAATAAACAAAATGACCATTTGAAGAGCGTGTACGGGTCTGAATGAGAGTGTGAGTTTATCGATGTATTTCGTTGAATTAGGCTTGTGTCGCGGCCAGGTCCCTTAGGGTGTACGCATCGGCGGTGGAGAACCCTGGACACGGCAGACCGTGGGTATCATAAGGGCCCACACCCTCTAAGGGAAACGTTGTCGCACCGGAATGCTATGATATATGCCACGAGCTGAAAAGGTGGGCCCTCGTCCCCTTACTGCTTCCCGGCAATATTAACGAAGTGAAGAAATTAAAGAACCGTCCACATAAATGCCCTGACGATATCACGCATAAAGCTATGACACGAGTTATCTCCATGAATTTATATCACAATAAGCACAATACGTGATAAAGTGAGTACGACAAATATATGATGAAACTGGAGATACGATAAGAGGGTAAGAATAGGAATGGTCAGAAAACAAAGAACCATAATGTGACATACGGTTCACTGCATTTGATCCACAGTGCTGATGACATCATGCCTGACGACGGTGTTGCTGAGACTGCACTCTGTGAGACATGACACGTGAGACGAACGACCGAACCGCGACGAAACTGACGGTACACTCCGACGAGACAGACGCGACGACTAACGGATTGATTGGCGCGGGCTCGCTCGATATCTTTCCCGCGTTCCTATCACCTTGCTTCATTCGAATGTTGCCCGAGGCGACTGCCGTCCAATGGAGCGCGCTTTCTTTCCAGTACACATCGGACGCCAAGGTCGCACGTAAGTCGGGAGAGCTGACACTGGTCCAAGTTCCTAAATAGTATCGAGTCAGTACCCTGCACAAGGCATGACATATGACGGATGACAGTGAAACCTAATTCTAGTGCTCAATCTTTTATTAGTTGAGCCGTAGATGTCTTTACTCGCCTCCCTCACAGCTAAATAGAAGAAGAACTTGGAGGTTATTATAATCAAGCAGCAGACCATTTAAGTCGCTTCAGCGATGATTGTGCCTTGCATCCAGTTTGCTTTCAGAACATTTGAGGGGAAAAATAGGTTTTTTTAAACGATAGATTGGCTTGTCACATACTTCCTTCTCTAAAATCTCTCTCACACATATAGATGACCGCTTGGCAACAAAGCGATGTAACAGGGTTCTCGTGTGAGTAAAAGACAGAAAGCATTCGTGAGCTCTATCTTACACATCCCTGACAATAATTCCCAGGGAAATTCAGGGAACAAACTCTCCACCCTTGTTTGGCTTAGCTTATTCATGTTCTTAGCTTCCTTCCAACGCCTGAGTGCTAAAGTTAATGGTGCGTCTGCATGTGTGTTGATATCTTGTGTCTAGGCCCAGTCAAGTGCGTAAGTTCGAGTGGCTGAAAAAATAGGGTAAGGAAGGCATGAATCACCTCTACCAAACAGCGACCACTGTCTACTTTGGGATAGCGTAGCCGAAAGAAAGGTCTATCATCACGACAAAAGACAGCAGGCTTTTCGTAGCTCCTCGCGATGGCATTTTCTTTCTGCAAAAGTTCTTAACATGCTGAAGAAATCGAATCGATTTCCAACTTCTTTTCAGGATCTTGAATTTCTGGCAATGGAAACCTTTGCTGATTCAGTAGTTCCAGCACGAGGTTCGCGTAGAAGTCGCATCGTATCCAGACAGAAAGAATCTTCGTGTTTTATAATTGTAAGGAGCGGCTTATATAACATAAATTGACACGGCCTATTTTGCCAACATATTTCGAAATGCGAACGCACCTCCGCAGTGCACTATGTCCACAATCTGAACATATCCTAGTAATCGTAGAACTACCACCACAATAACTCCAATTTGAGCAAACATCTTATTTGCGTAGTAAAAAGTTCCCATCAGTTTAAATATACCAAGACAAAACTCAGAGTTTTGAAAAATAGTGGAACCATAAAAGAACGGAATCGCGGAAAAGCAGGATTTCCAACCTAGAGAGAAATCACAGAATCTTCTGAGACACTGGATATGTATGTCACGTAGACGAATCACATCAACGTATAATGTAAGCCCAGAGCACTCGCACACGTTATAGATTGTAACACAACGGATTGGCGATGGTGAATTCCTTTTTACGATCCTGATCTCAACGATAGAGTTTAGAAATTGCGCTTACAGGCACACCTATGCTCGCGAGGTATCGAAACAAGAATATTATAACTCAGAATTGCTGCATAAGTTTACCTCTGTGAAAAGCCAGCTACTTTCTTGTCTGAGAGTTTCCCTTGCGGACTTCGTTGGTCATCTTCTCCGTTATACAGACGTCTGGTTGTATCAACCCTTACTCCTTATAAGAATTCTAAAACGAACCCGCTATACTATAGTGATCGGATAGCACATAGCCCACCTTTAAACATCTTATCAGCTAGCTCGAAATACTCTTGAAGGGCTACATAGGTATTTGATTGGAGTGAATTTGTCAGGGTAATAGACACAGAGTGCATTCGGAAAAGGGAATCGGATTGGAAGATTGCGCCTTACACGTGTGCTCATAATTCTTTTACCTGACAGGGTATTTGTTGTTGGCGAGCCATAAGGCTATATATACATTCCCCACAGATGATTGATATGATTGATCTACTTGCATGTAAAGAATAGAGAGACAAGACTGGATATAGAGAGAGAATGACGTCCGACAGGAACCTCGCCAAGTGTATCAATCGAACGAGTCTATTTTCCTTAAAAAGTTAGTTGGTCCATGTTTCCTCAGCCTCCATAGACTAAACATTGTACATCGTCGACTTATATGCAGCCTGTATAAAAGTGAAACTGAGCGGCAATGTTACATGTTCCCATTTCAGATTGTCTCACAAACCAGAATCTCGTATTTTTTCTCCCAGAATCTCGTAATTTACCCTCCTTTTTCATTAGGTTGGAATGTTGCTCAACAATGACACCGAGTATTTACTCATCTTTGATGCACTTCGAAAGTATCGTATAGTTCAGAAAAACTTCTTGTTCGAGCTCCACAAAATAACATTTTATCCGGGCACTCCCACTAGGAAAGATAAGATACGTAGGATTTAGCCGTCGAGTTCTCCGAAAACTGAAAGAGATTCTGCCATGACTGCTCAACATGATTTAGATACAGATGCACTGCATGCTGAAGGAGTACGGAACGTTTTGAGTGGGTAGTCCATTTGAGACAGCTTTTTTGGAGAGGAGAAACCTTTCTGATGTGGTAGAACTAGAATGTGCTCCACAACCCCTTGTTCGCAATCTCATCGCCACAAACAACTAGCCCTTGCTCAATTAAAGTTGCGAGGGCGATATTTCCATTGTATTGGGATCTTGTGACTTTGATGCCGAAGGAAGCTTCGGCAAGGTAATATTGTCTAGACCTCCTACTCTCTTTGGATAGTCTGTTGTCCAATATATGGTGGACATTGGAAACTCATCGTGCTTCGAAAGGGGAAACCTTGGCTCAACTGACCTGATCATGTGGATCTTGTGCATCTAGCCCATCCGGAAATGACTGCGGTCTTCGTTTCGTGCTTTTTTCAGATAGATTTCAATTCCAGGATGAGATTCAAGTTGTTCGCCTTTCTTCTGGTTGTTGCGGTCGATGGGAACATCTCCATTTCAGATGGTGTAAGAAGATCCTTTTAACACGCTCTTAGCCATATGATAGATTTCCATAGAGAGCACTTCTCTGTTGTTGCAGCCCTTCAGCGAAAAGGTTTCGAAGATAAGTGATATGATCAAAGGCAAGCACGATGATGTACTCAAAACTTTGGACGTCAATCACGGGAAAATTGAAACACTGCTTCAGGTTAATATGAAGGACTGGGTGATGTTTGTATTTTTCACCTAATACTACGTGATTAATGCGAGTCGTAGTGTCACGAAGAAAGTAATATACAAAAAATTATTCACAGTAAACAAAAATATTGCGGTGAAGATGTGAATGAGGAAGATAATGTTAATGATCTGCGGATCAAGGAAACATTTCAGGAGTTACCAGAGATCAAGTATGATCGGATCAACCTTATGGGAGATTCCCTGTACGAAGTCAACGAAAAGAGCAATGTTGATGACAAACTTTTCCAGAGTGACATCGTCCTCACAGAGTAGGCGTTGACAATTGAACCAATCTTCTGAGTAATCAAAAGGCATATGTTTCAAGGACACAAGCTCAAGTCGTCATCAATGATATCAACGAACAAATAGGAGGCTCTAATCGTACAAAGCGTCAAGCACTTGCAGATCATAATGGAGTACAATTGTGGAAAGACGGAGTGAANTATTATTTCAGCCCCTCCATCGGTGAGACAGAAGGCTTTTTGATAGAAGGAACATGATGGTGCTGGGCTGACAAAAGTGCATATTACAGATTCGAAGACGAAAAGGGCCTTCGTGATGGGAGCAGATATGTGGAGCAAATATTCTTGTATCAACTTCAAACACAATCCCTATGGTAAGAGCCATAATGTGTGTAAATTCATTTCGATTGTGAGATCCAACTTTTCCATTTCCACAACGCAGGTCTGATCCATTGTTTAAGCCCTATGACTCGTTCACGTCTCTTTATTTCTCAAACAAGAATCAAGCGATCCGAATGTCATGCCGGCGTAAATGGTACATTTCTGCGGATGCTGCTGGAACTGAGCCTTATATTCGCGCCTACCACCAGAGCTGAGGGCAAACAATGATCATCGAAATACAAAAAAAAAATAGGAAAACGGAGGGGGAGGGGGCTAAAAGTGCAGGTTGAGACTCGCGTCATATAAAATTCTAGAAAAGAAGTTTTCCATTCTCCAGATCCATTCTCCAGAGGTTGCTTGATCACAGGATGAATGCACATTCAAATACCACTGAGACAAGGTGTTAATTGAAAACGCTTCTCAGTTCTTCTGAGAGCACTTAATTTTCAGCTAAGGATCGAGTCAAAATAGTATATGAAGACGGATGTTGGTCGAGCCTAGGAAAAATAGGGGGAGAACAGAAAATATCGCTAGGAGAAGGATGTGGTGTAGCACCAATTGTTGCTCATGAGATTGGCCATACTATTGGATTCTGGCACACCATGGCAAGNTACGACCGCGACCAGTTCATCACCTTAAATCTTGGCAACATTAAGGTAAGAGTGGAAAGCTGGCCAAAATGTATCGAAAAGAAAATACGTAGAGCTTTCGCTTGCAGCAGTCTTGGCTTAGCCAGTTCGCGAAGCAGACACCACAGACAAACGACAACTTTAACCTGACCTACGATTACGGTAGCATCATGCACTACGGAGGAAGGAGGTTGGCCGAATTTTTCACTTTACTCTTTACCATACAAAAATCTTCTCAATTGCTTCTCTATCTATCATACTTACTGTCACTATTCGATCATTCTGCGCAAGAAAAGGTGTGCAAGACTATGTACTATCATGCACATGAATCTACTGCGGTACGCCCACATTCATCTACATCAAAGTTTGCAAATGAAATCAGGGTTAGAAAGCAACACACGAGAGAATAAGATATTCTTTAGAACTATTTCTACGGCATAAAGCATCTAGCAGTGACAGAGACCAACCCGCTCGTGAAAACTTCAAAATATTGCGGAGTAGCTTGGTAATTGCAATATTGGTGCACGCAACTGTTTCCAATCAATGCGAGAGCTTGAACATAAGCACATGTTCTCCAAAGAGGTCTTTTGAGGTCTTTTCTCCTCTTAAGAACAGCTATTTGCAGTGCCGCGATTGATCGAAAAACTCCTACCTTGGTGCCATTTAATACCAACTATCAAGAGACACTTGGTTCGCACTTTATGTCTTTCATCGATTTGCAAATGATCAACGAGCTTTATGGATGCAAAAGTAAGTTTATAAGAACCTGATTCTCTCAGGTCTATTTAAACGATTTCAGAAAACTGTGCTGGTAAAAGATCGGCGCGATGTAAAATGGGCGGTTTCCCCAACCCAAACGACTGCTCTAAATGTGTCTGCCCTGGAGGATATGCTGGAGATCTGTGTACTGAAAGAGTAAGGGACAAAGAGATTCTCAACAAAAAGAAAATGAGCGTTCAGCTTCCTTTCCAGCCCGATGAAGGATGCGGGAGCAAAATTGATGCAACGGAAGAATGGAAGACTCTCACTGATGTCTTGGGAGACTATAGTGTACGACAGCCCCTGGAAGATTTCAAAAAGTGCAATTACTGGATCGAAGTACGTCGATCATTTCTAATCGAGCCTCAGGAATAAGAATCATTGCCTATAATTGACTGGACTGAAAACGAAGCCCTCTTCTCGGAGATTGCGTTGTCCGAATAGTCTGTAAAAATATAAGTTTTCAGAAGGCAGCGCTGACCCTGAGTTTGAACATGATTGCTTAGAGCTGATGTTTTTCAGTCTCCCGAAGGAACTGAGATCATAGTAGAAATTGTGAGTCTCAAAGGCCATCAAGCTGTTGACGGTTGTGTTTATACCGGTGTGGAAATCAAGACGAACAAAAATCAGCAGCTCACTGGTTTCAGGTGTAGTTCTCGTAGTTTTATTCCTTCATTCTCATGATGAGAAAGCACATGTGAAGTCTGACTCATGCTCTTTAAACGCTCTAACAGATTCTGCGCCTATCAAGCGGCTGGAACAAGGCTTCGTTCATTCACTAATCGGGTTCCAATAATGACATGGAACAAAGTTTTTAGATCAGAAACGGTATTAAGTTTCCGCCACGGTAAGTTGGTTGACCTTTGATACATATGCCCCATGAACTGAAACGATTCTATTCAGTTCCGGCAGGTAGCGGCAGACAGCCTCAGCCATCTTCTCGAACAGTTCGACCATCGCCGATTCGTGTAGTTCAGCCGTCACCTAGGCCTACTACCAGATCTCCGTGGTCCGCTAGAACTCCCTCTTCGACTGCACCAACTAAAACCAAAATCACGTGTACCAAGCGAGTCGATTCGAGGTAAAGTAATCCTTTTAAAAAAACTCTTATTTTGCGTCAATTTCCTTTTTTCAGATGTCTTTCTTTCATCAAAGCGGGATTCTGCACCAATCCCCGAATGCTGAACTATTGCCCTAAGGAATGTCGAATTGTTTGTTGATGGCCATTATTCAATTCGATAAATCCTGCATCTTCTGTTATTTGTGTTTCCACAATATGTTATGTTCCTTTTGATACAAAAAGTAATCTCGCTCAAGGTATCTAGTATGACACAGTTTTCCGTCATTAGTCGGTCCTGCCAGCAAGCTATAGGGAAGCGATGCAAAAATCTTCGAATTGACAAGCTCTTTTCTGCGGTCACCTCGATCTCGTGTACCGTACCTTACATCTTTGTCCAGGTTCTTCTATAATGTGTTCATTTACGAAACTCTATGATTATAATAGAGGTAGTGATATGAACTGCCCACTGCAAACTGTGATACCTATACAGGGTGGCTAAAAAGTATAGGACGCCACATTTGTAAGCGTAACTTCAAAGATAGAGACCGGAGTGACAAATAAACTTAATGAGGAATAGAGTAGAACTACAAGATCACTTAGGACAGCAGGTGTTCAAAGTTCGATCCTTTTACTCCTACACAGGCCTTCAGACTCTCGATGACTGAATCGACCGTACGTCGCAGGTAGTCGACGTCGTTATCGTTCGACGGCTTCTGAAGCGTCAACTTCTGAGCGTCAAGCGTGCGGTAGGAGCGTCCTGCGATCTCGCTATCCAGGTACCCCCATACAAAGAAGTCCACTGAATTGAGATCTGGCGGAGAGGAAGGTCAGATGCCTTTACCTCAGAAACCGGGGAAGTGCGCGTCCAGTACGGATTTTGTCGACTTTGAGGCATTAGG